TGCTTGTGTATTATCTGTCACGTCGTATAATTTATTGTTTTTAGATAAGTGATCTTTATGGTGCATCAAGAAGGCTGAATTTCTTGTCATTAATGTCTTTGATAGTGAGAATAATGACAGGAAGTGAGCCACAAGACTCAAATGGTGGTAATATGACACAAATGAAAATGAGTCTGTGAAGGATAGATGTACCATCTATTCAGTTGATTCCATAAAGTTTCAGTAGGTCGTAGGCCACAACTAAGTTAAAACATGGTTTTAAAAGCATCCCCTTTTTTGAAAGACATATTTGAATTGTTTTGAATTCAAACAATTCCTCTTTTTTTAGTAGTATTTAATTTTATTTATTTGTTCTTTTATTTGGGGGAGGGTTTGGACTCCCTAGAAACCTGGAAGTTCCTGGAACCTGGTTTTAAAATCCTTGATTTTGAGGATTCACTCTTGCGATTAATTTCAGTTTATCACTTCCCAAACCATTTAGTGTGTTCGGTATGCGGCCAAATCCTTGTTTTCATTTGCATCAAATTAAGTGTGGCATGAACTCTGACTGAGGTCTACAAAGACTATGAATTGTCTTCTGCTCTGTGGAAGTTCGCAGAGGTTGCATGTGTGTTTCAGACACATCTGGCCTGTGAATTTCTGTCGTCCCGTCCAACATTCCATCTGAGAGAGAGAGGTACAGAAAGGGATATACCAAAAAGAGACAGAAAGATGGAACAGACTCCTAGCCAAAGACAGATGACCCACAGATGGCACCTGACATTGCACTGTTTGAACTGGCCTACAAGACGTGAATGACCAAATCTGTGTTTGCTGGAATCCCAGAATTTAAATTTATGGCATTTTATCTTATTCATCTTTAGACATGATTTCATCATTATATACATTTGCATTTAATAGCCATCAAGGGGAAGACAGGAATAAAGGGAGAGGAGGGGGAGTGAGAGAACGCGAAAAGGGGGGATGGCACAACGATGTCATAATTACAATCGCCAACCCAGGCCATTGCCATGGAGACATAGACATGTGAGCAGGCCGATGGCATTCACAGTGAGGGTGCTCCGACCTGCTGTTCACTTCGAGCACTGAGATAGAGGGAATATTTTTAGATAAGAGATGCAGCGTTCTGAGGAAGGGAGGAGTGACCCAGAGAAGAGACGGAGGTGTGAGAGAAATAAAACGGTGATGTGGTACATTAAATCTAGCTGTGCTGGAAAATCCTGATGGTAGCTGATTATACCTGGTTTCTTGGTGGTCTAGATGGCAGGGTAGACTGGGTTTCAACAAACCCCCATTCCAAACCTGAATAACTTTATTTCTTCTGTAGAGTGAAAAAAGAGGATATTTGAAGAATATTCTCTCGGGTCTTTTCCATTCGCTTCATAGTGACCATAGCTGTTAAGATCCAAAAACGACAATAGAAGCACCAAAAACAAAGTCAATATGGCTCGTGCACTATATTCCATAGCTGCGTCCCAAATGATGCACTAAAACACTATTTATGTATTTATGCACTATTTTTTTCCCCGATTATTTAAGTGCACCAATCGATTGGCCAGGGATCGGAATCGGCCGATTTTCCTCATGATCGGCCAGGATCGGTGACCGGCTGGTCAGTCTCACTTCTTTCCGATTCCGAGCCGATCCGTTTTGTTACCAGCGGCACAAGCAATAACGTCAGCCGTGCATTCTCGCTCTCATCTCTCCGACAACCCCTTCTCTCTCACACACATCTCATTCGCGCCGGTTAAACACAGTCAGTTTTGGAACATTAAATAGTTGAGAAAGAGATGTTGTGTCACAGTATATTGGGTCCGTGGATAAACTCTTAAAGGGACCGCAGTCCAATATTCCTGCTGCTGTCTGTCATGTTAATCAAAGAGCAAAAGACAAAGAAAATCAATATTCCTGCTGAAAATCCAATATTCCTGCTGCTGTCTGTCATGTTAATCAAAGAGCAAAAGACAAAGAAAATCACTTTCTGCTCTTGACTGAATACGTTTTATAACTTTAATGGTAAGCATTAATCTGTATTTAATTTTTACAATGAAGACTACAGAAATTAAAGTAATCAAATGTAAAATAACACTGGATGCGTTACTGTACATTTGATTACTTTAATTTCTGTAGTATTTCTTACCTTGAATAAAAACTTACTTAACCTGAAAAACTTAGTTTCATAGCTCTCTTTATTCTATTGCATTTATTTGTGCTGTTGTTTGCAATTTTTTTATTTGTTCTTATTTTATTACTGACTTTTTACTTGTGTTTTTTTATGAAAATAAAACTTTGCGTTGAAGAAAAGTAGATTTTTGTTTGTATATGCTGCCAATTATAGTCCTTAGAAAATCGGAATCGGCAAAAATCGGTATCGGCAGATCACACTAACAAAGAAATCGGAATCGGCCAAGAAAATTGCAGTCGGTGCATCTCTATTTAAGTGCATCATCCGGATATTTAAAGTGCACTTTTTCTGTTTGCCATTTTCTGTGTGAACAGACTCTGGTATGGTCAAAATTACATAGACTTGATATAATTATATAGACTTTTATGGGGGTTTTTTTTTCTTTTAGGTCATTTTTAGACCTCTTGTCACTATGAACTGTCTGCGTATCTAAAAGACCTGCGTAAAATGTTCGGTTCCACAAAAGAAAAGGAAGTAATAAATGAGAACATTTTCATTTTGGGGGTAAACTATTCCTTGAAATGAAAGGAAAGATAGAATATGTACAGGGTGAGTAGATGAAAAGAGGGAGATGAAATAAGAGGAAGTGAGTGGTTGTGAAAGACAAGCTCTGTAGGATGGGGTGGGCTGAGGAAGTTGAAAATGACTAAACAAAAATGAAATGAAAAGAGAAGAGAAGGAAAAAGTAAATGTCTGAAATTTTGCTGCATTATGTCCTCCTGTACCCAACTATGATGTGCATAATTTTCTGTAGTTTTTGTTGACAGCAGCACCAGAGGAGAGACAGATGGGCAATAATCATTGCTGCTTGCGTTAGAGCTACTGTCGTACATTTCTTCCATCAGCATTTTTTGATATACCGGTAATTATGATTTTCCACTGCAGTAGAGCATGGGAAGAGATGAGAAAAAAAGAAATGAGGGGAGGGTTTTTTAATCATTTATCTCTAAAACTTTGCCTTGTTTGAAATAAGTTAATGTCATTAGTCAGAATTTTGTTCAGAATGAATGATTAACTTCGTAATCTACTTTGAGCAACGATGGATGGTGGAAGGAAAAATCTAATCAGATTTCAACATGACTGTAATAAATATATTTCTAAACTTGGGATGTGTTTTTAAACTATTTTCAAATCTATCATCATGTAATAAAAACATTGGTAATTAATTAATTAATCACATAATATTACTTTAATAATCATATTGAAATAATATATGAATAAGATGGCTGATATTCAATAGTCAGCACCGAATCTTTCAATATTTTTGAACAAATCTGCTGAATGATTGGGTTGATTGACTGTTTCAGTGATTCACTCACCAAATCTGTTGAATGGATAATTCAAGCAAATACTCACTTGTCACTTGTCAGGTAGTGTCAGATGGAAAAAGTGCCTTCCTGTATTTTGCTCTGTTTTGCTACTCTCCCATCAATGCTTGTAACATGGGCTTTAGCAAGAAAGAAAAAATGCTTAGATCAAAGACGACCCTAAACAGGAAGCTGTTACCACCAGATATTCAGCAGATGTACACAAGACTCGTGGGTAAACTGTGCTTCTTTATATAGAATGGCACTCTTTTTCCGGCTTACTGTTGTAGTTCTCACCATTATAAATGAACCCACTGTGATACACCCATATGCTGGTGCGGTTTCAGGGCCCTGGTCTCTCTGACGGAGAACATGATGCATGACTGTATCTCAAAACTGCTGCTTTAGCTGCACGGTAAGTGGTGCCCAGAACTATAGAGAAAGGGGGGAAAAAATCTTCACTGAAGAAGATGACTTCAGCTCTGGACTGTTTTCCCAAAGGTGTAATTTCCACTAGCTGTACCAAATGAAACTCTAAAATAACGATTGTCTCCCATGTCTGACATTGTTTGCACGGCTCAGTTAGCGCCTGCTGGTGGATGTCATAACTGCACCATCTGGACCCAGAAAGCTTCTTTCTCCATTGATAGCCATTCAAGTAATAACTTTGTATTCTGATGAAATAATTGTTTTTGCAACTTATTTATTTATTTTATTTTATTTTTGAGGACTCTTAAAGTCATGAAATGAAACCGCACATACTACATTTTTGACGCCTGCACTCCATCATGACTTCATATTGTATTCAGATAATATCAGATAATTTGGCCTTTTCATGACAAGGCAAGGATATTTTAGGTTTTAAAATATCATGTAATGTGACTCTTCAAAAACGTAACAATATTTGTGAAGAATTAACTTAAGTAAAAAATACTTAAATACTATTTTTAAATGTTTTGATTATTTTGATTAATTGTTATTATTATTATTTAGAATTATATTATCATAAATATATTATAATCTCTTGAAAATTACATTTTTTTTTCAAATCCATGTGAAACCAAGACTTCTAAGAACCTGGCACATGTGTTTTAAACTACAATTTACAAGCACTTCAATCTTGTTTATTATGAATCTGTACTTCTGAATTGACTGGCATTAAATCCATGTCTGCTACAGACTGAATTTTTCATACCAATTTTTGAAAACTTGTATTCCATCTGTTGTTGCCCAGTGAAAAGTGCATTTGCAGCAATTTGGCATCTTGAATATAGTCCAGGACAGGTTAAGAAACGATAAAGTCCCTGTCACTATATGTGTGTGACCAGTATCTGAACCCAAGTCTCCTGACAGCCAGTGTTAATTAATTCATAATTCTTACAGTAATTGTCACCTGCTCTATTACTCTCAGTGTGAATGACTTGCTGCATCTCTTGCCGAGAAAAGCAAAAACACAATTTAAAATACTCTATATATTAGGCTTAAGCTTCTTGACTTTGTTTTCCCAGGTTTTCACCACATACTCGAACGAGGACTACGACAGGCGTAATGATGAGGTTGACCCCATGGCGGCTTCGGCCGAGTATGAACTGGAGAAGAGGGTGGAGAGACTGGACCTTTTCCCCGTCGAGCTGGAGAAAGGTACTCGACCCACCGATGGAGTTTTCCTGACTAAACCGTGTGTGTTTTAGAGCCTGTGTGGCATGTTGTCTTAAGGGTCCTTAACTTCCTGTTTCTAAACAAACTGTCTCAAGCATCTTGTTTTGCTCTGTAAAGTAAGCAGCTTTTGCTGATTAGAAAATCTGAGGGGTCGGGCCCTCTCTCCTAAAGCAGTGTGGCGGTTACCATAGCTACCGTATGTGAAATATCACAGCGTAGACATGGAGGCGTTGTGTTCAGCTCTGTAGTTTTTATATTCCAGTGGTATTAAAGTTACAACCGCTCTGGGCTAAAAAGAAGTGATTAAGAATAATGTAATTTCAAGAGGATTATTTGGAATCAATAATTATTATTGCTAAATAATTATAATCTTTAAATCTGCTCAAATGATTTACAGTCAAAGGATTAGTCACATACTAATTCCAGCTCATTATCCCAATATTTAGTTATTGCCGTCTAAAAGCCTTAAAGCTCTTTGAAGTGCACATTTACAATTTTAAACTGTTATTTTTTAGTATTTAATAATATTTTGAATTAGCTTTTATTTTTATATTTTTGGTTTTCATTTTAAATTTTAGTTTTAGTCATTTTATTATGTGCTTTTTTAAAATTCTTGTTTAGTTTTTTTATATTTCCATATATCTTTCATTTATTTGTATTTTAGTTTTAGCAGTTGTAGTACTTTAGCTTAAACTTATTCATTTCAGTTAGTTGTCAAGGCAACATTTTTAAAGTTTTTCATCTAATGTTTATATTTAATCTGTATTTTAATTGCCAAAAACCTTAAAAAATGGTTTAGTGTTTTAATTCATAAAAACAACACTGATTTAAAGAATCATTGATTTGAAGAACATAAGGGTCACTGAAAAATTCCCCTCTGCCGTAGCTCTGAAATCCTGCTTGTACTTCTGCTTGATGTTGTGTTCGTTTACGAGAAGTGTTAACTTAGTCATGTAAACTGTAACTCTGTGATTCCTTCCGGTCAGATAATGACGGATTGGGAATCAGCATCATCGGGATGGGTGCTGGCGCGGACATGGGCCTGGAAAAACTGGGAATCTTTGTCAAGACAGTGACAGAAGGAGGAGCCGCCCACCGAGATGGAAGGTCAGTAGGGATGGGCGATACCACTTATTTTGTTTTCGATACGATACCGATACTTTTAAAGGCCAGTATCGTCGATATCGATACCGATACGAAACTTCTAAACTGAACTTTTAAATTATGAAATGTATTAAATTATTAAATTACAAAAGAGTAAAAGGGGTAATGATACCCACTTAGCTTTATATTTGAAACACATTTTAACATTCAATACACCTTAATTGCAACGTATTTTTTACGCGTGGTTAAAATATGTTTACTGTAGTGGTAACCATGGAAATCTACAAATACTATAATTAATAATAAAAAAAAAATACAATTTATAATAAATAATATATGAACTACGGTCACTTTAGTAAAACCACCATGGTTCATTTTCATAAGGGACTGCCAGTGACAGGCGGTTGCATGCATAAAATGCAACCTTTTTATTCTGACAGCTATGGTTTATATTAACATTACAGAATAGAACATGATCAATATGAGCTTTTAACGTTCAATTTAAATAAATGTAATTGCACTATGTAGGCTACCATTTCAATTTGTTTATTGTGAAATAACTCAAAACATATGTTTTTTCTGTCCTCTGATAAGAATTGTTCTGCCGTTCCCAAAAGCATCAATGATTTCTTATGATACTTTTGGGAAACGCAGCCCTGTATGAATGCACTGTCAGAAGTGAGTGAACGCTCTCTGTGATTGATTGGTTCTGTCTTGCAACAGATGAGCAGGAAAATAGTTCTATCCTACACAATTATTCACTAACATAGGTTATTCGTCCAATTCAATACATATTGTACGCATACATTTTTTTGTTAAATAAACAAAATCACTGGTAAAACAAACAAAAAAAACACACACACCTTAGTATCGATATTTTTTATTTGAGTATCGATACTTTTGATACTCGCATCAGTATCGATACGCCCATCCCTAAAGGTCAGTTAGAGAATTACAGGATAGAGTGGGATTTATATGGATTTAAGTGCAAATGAGAGTGAAAAGAAACTGGGATTCCTTTACCTTCTGTCAGTCTGTACTACCAGGACGTCTGCTTTCATCAGTCTGCAAAATGGATTAAATACCAAAGTCACAGAGGCATCATCAGACATGCAGTGGAAACTGTGAGGCTGATGCTTTTAGACTGAAATGAGACAAAGTGAAATAGTCCAAATAAATAGATAAATAGTGTTTGTTATTTATAAAACAGACCGAGTATTTAATCAACACATATGTGTATGGATGGAGGTAGGGCTGGGCGGCTGGGCGAAAAAAAATGTATCAACGATATAATGTTTCATATCGTTCGTTATCGATAATTATTGACATTTTTTATAACCTTTTTAAAACAAAAGGCAATAGAAATTTTTTATTTAATTTAACCACTGTATTTATAATTAACACAATTTATTGAGACAAACAACAAATATTTTTTGTTTTAACAATCAAACACAATAAAAATTAAACAAATATCTAATTTCTAATGTTTTATATGCAGATTAAATAGGTCTTTATTGTATAGGTCTAATTGTCTCCCGAGGCCACAGGAGGGCGCAATGAGCAAAATAATGCAGCGCATTTAAATTGTCAACGCAAGGAAGTAACTCTATAAAAACGTGCATAACGTCTAAATGAACTCAATTAACTCAATCATGTATTTATGCATTGCTTAATCCAAAGAGCCAAATCTCCATTCACACAGACTGCATTTAAAAACATATGAGACGCAGTGAAAAGGAATAAACCTCCACAAATTCGTGACGTGTTTTCTAAAAGTTTAAACTGTTTTAACTTTGCATGGCTTTCTATACTTCTCTTCTGTGAGACGCGAGTGCAGCAGTCATATTTGTCCATCTAAAAAATGCGCTCACTATGCGTTCTGTGTGAATGGCTTGGTTTCGGTTTTAACCCATTCAAGATCTTCTCCACATTGAGCTTCTATGTTTCTCTAATATTTTGAATGAATAACGCAGCAGTGGCGCGTCTCGTGGGCTAGACTAACAAAACATTAAAATGCAACAACGTCACTCACATCATCTTCAACGCATCTCGCGCACCACTGATGACGCTCCCTGATGCACAACTAACATTCAAATGCAAATGTTTATTTTAAATTCGACTAATATTCATTCTTTATTCACAATCTCCTCATCACAGGCAGTCACAGCACTCATTTCAGCATGTGTTCGTGTTTGTGTGTGCTGTCTGCGTCACTCATAGTACGTGCTATTCTGACAGCTATGGTTTATATTAACATTACAGAATAGAACATGATCAATATGAGCTTTTAACGTTCAATTTAAATAAATGTAATTGCACTATGTAGGCTACCATTTCAATTTGTTTATTGTGAAATAACTCAAAACATATGTTTTTTCTGTCCTCTGATAAGAATTGTTCTGCCGTTCCCAAAAGCATCAATGATTTCTTATGATACTTTTGGGAAACGCAGCCCTGTATGAATGCACTGTCAGAAGTGAGTGAACGCTCTCTGTGATTGATTGGTTCTGTCTTGCAACAGATGAGCAGGAAAATAGTTCTATCCTACACAATTATTCACTAACATAGGTTATTCGTCCAATTCAATACATATTGTACGCATACATTTTTTTGTTAAATAAACAAAATCACTGGTAAAACAAACAAAAAAAACACACACACCTTAGTATCGATATTTTTTATTTGAGTATCGATACTTTTGATACTCGCATCAGTATCGATACGCCCATCCCTAAAGGTCAGTTAGAGAATTACAGGATAGAGTGGGATTTATATGGATTTAAGTGCAAATGAGAGTGAAAAGAAACTGGGATTCCTTTACCTTCTGTCAGTCTGTACTACCAGGACGTCTGCTTTCATCAGTCTGCAAAATGGATTAAATACCAAAGTCACAGAGGCATCATCAGACATGCAGTGGAAACTGTGAGGCTGATGCTTTTAGACTGAAATGAGACAAAGTGAAATAGTCCAAATAAATAGTGTCCATGGTTTTGTTATTTATAAAACAGGCCGAGTATTTAATCAACACATATGTGTATGGATGGAGGTAGGGCTGGTCGATATAGCTAAAAAAAATGTATCAACGATATAATGTTTCATATCGTTCGTTATCGATAATTATTGACATTTTTTATAACCTTTTTAAAACAAAAAGCAATAGAAATTTTTTATTTAATTTAACCACTGTATTTATAATTAACACAATTTATTGAGACAAACAACAAATATTTTTTGTTTTAACAATCAAACACAATAAAAATTAAACAAATATCTAATTTCTAATGTTTTATATGCAGATTAAATAGGTCTTTATTGTATAGGTCTAATTGTCTCCCGAGGCCACAGGAGGGCGCAATGAGCAAAATAATGCAGCGCATTTAAATTGTCAACGCAAGGAAGTAACTCTATAAAAACGTGCATAACGTCTAAATGAACTCAATTAACTCAATCATGTATTTATGCATTGCTTAATCCAAAGAGCCAAATCTCCATTCACACAGACTGCATTTAAAAACATATGAGACGCAGTGAAAAGGAATAAACCTCCACAAATTCGTGACGTGTTTTCTAAAAGTTTAAACTGTTTTAACTTTGCATGGCTTTCTATACTTCTCTTCTGTGAGACGCGAGTGCAGCAGTCATATTTGTCCATCTAAAAAATGCGCTCACTATGCGTTCTGTGTGAATGGCTTGGTTTCGGTTTTAACCCATTCAAGATCTTCTCCGCATTGAGCTTCTATGTTTCTCTAATATTTTGAATGAATAACGCAGCAGTGGCGCGTCTCGTGGGCTAGACTAACAAAACATTAAAATGCAACAACGTCACTCACATCATCTTCAACGCATCTCGCGCACCACTGATGACGCTCCCTGATGCACAACTAACATTCAAATGCAAATGTTTATTTTAAATTCGACTAATATTCATTCTTTATTCACAATCTCCTCATCACAGGCAGTCACAGCACTCATTTCAGCATGTGTTCGTGTTTGTGTGTGCTGTCTGCGTCACTCATAGTACGTGCCTATATCGTGCGCTATATCGAACAATTTTTCTATCGATATCGAAGAAGGTGTACCGTCGATAAATATTGATACCGTTTTATCGCCCAGGCCTAGATGGAGGGATGGTATTTATTGATCTATAATGAGTAGAATCTGACCTTGCAATGGCATCTGAGCTCTTCAGACCCTGGAGTGAGTCATGGCGGTCACAGAGAAGCTATTTCTATCTGTCAAGCTCAAGAGCTCTTTTGAAAAATAACAGCAATTCAGCTTAGAGAAGCCCACTTTTGCTTATGACGTTCCTTTAGAGCACAGGAGATTTAACAAGTGTTAGGAATCTTAAAAACTCACAACGTTAGTTATTTCTCTCCGGTCTTGAGTCAGTAGGTGCATGCTGCATTGCAGTGGCTTCTTCCTCATTTTGGCATGACAGTTAGAAACAGTCGGCCTGGAAGCCACAGGAGACATAAAAATCTAATAAGCCAATGCTAAAATGAGCTGTCGCCACATGTATTGAGTGGGACAGACACTTTAGCACTCTGAAAGGACCTCACCTTCACTCTCTGGCACCTCATTTGTTCTCCTGCTGTCTATCAAACATACATCTGCCTTGGCAAACAGGCTACCGGGACTGTTTTGGATGGGGCTGGATAGATTGGCATCTTTTATGACTGAGAGGATCGATCGATCATTTTAACGGCTTGGAATACAAGAAGAGGTTTAGTTAGGCGAGGCACTGATTCACTGCTGCTGTTGGTCAGCTTTCAGACTGAATAAATTATTCCTTTGGCATTGTCAGTTCCTGTACACGTATAGTGATGAGATTGATCAGTATCTTGGCCCAAGATGTAGCAGCCGTTTTACAGATGCACTTTTCCTCCCTGAGCTGTCCTGGTTATTTTTCCTTCCGGTAGGATCCAGGTGAATGATCTGATCGTGGAGGTGGATGGAACCAGTCTGGTGGGCGTGACCCAGAATTTCGCTGCATCGGTCCTTAGGAACACCAGCGGCACTGTCAAGTAAGGAAATTAAACAACTTTTTCATAGACATGTGAAATCTCACAGGTCAAGGTTTGGCCAGGTCATATTTTATTTTATTTTTTATTTTTTTATTGAAGATTGGGGTGTTTTTCAATATTTTTGAAGTCTATTTATTTATTAATTAAAAAATACAGTCATAACATGAATTTTGTGAATTAGTATTAAATTTAAAATAACCGTTTTATATTTGAATATATTTTTTAATGTAAATTTTACCAGCCATTTCTCCAGTCTTCAGCATCACATGATCCTTCAGAAGGATTCTTTTTATAATCATGCATTTATTTGAAATACATCTTTTTCTAAACAATTTCTAAAAACTGTCACTTTTGATCAGTTTATTGTGTCCTTGCTGAATAAAAGCATTAATTTCCTTTTAAAAAAGAAAAATCTTAGTGATCTGAAACGGTATGTGTGTGTGTGATAGTCGCATATACTGTATATGACAAAAATAATATAAAATTCTAAAATATTCACTCAAAAAATATCTAGACCAATTCCAAACTTCTTTATTTCTGTATCCAAACAATTAAAATAAAATAAAAAGAATTAAAAAGCTATATGTCATTGGAGTATTATCAGACTTAGTGTGAATGTGTTCACAGAGATCCACTGCTTCATTTTGAATCTTTGTTGCACATGTTTCAGGTAGACCTCAGGCTTTAGTGTATTAGAATTTAATTTCCCTCTATTTAATCCAGCATTATCTTCAGTCATCTCATTTGGCATCAGATGCTCACTGATTCATTATCATCTCTAATATTGCCCTGACAATGCTGTGTATCGAATAGATTGCTGCTTTCTGTTACTTTGATTTAACAAAGATCTAAGACCTGTGTGGTTGCATCTACAGTCAAGATTGGGTAGTTGTGGCATTTCAAACAAGCTCACGCATCTGCATCCTGTTTTCTCTTAAGCTGTTCTGGCTAGGCATGGATGATGCTTGATTGTAGTGCAGGGAAATGGAAAATGTGATTAATAGACGAGTTGAATAGAATCAAGTCCAGTGGGAGAGAAGATGTTTAATAATAACTTTTATTTGTGAGGAATACCTCAGCACAGAAGCGACTGCCAATCAGTCACTTTTAAATAGGATGCAGTTGAAGGCATCCAGCAGGATGCTGATGAAGGTTTTGAGCCTTTTAGGCTTTATAATGCAGGTCTTTTCTTCCTGTAAATCATCACACCTGAAAACAGTACAGAACTCACTTAAGGAATGACAGCTAGTCCACTAGGTCTTATCTGATTGACTGGTGTGTTTGTGTGTTGCAGGTTTGTGATTGGCCGGGAGAAGCCGGGGGAACAGAGTGAGGTGGCCCAGCTGATTCAGCAGACACTGGAGCAGGAGAGATGGCAAAGGGAAATGATGGAGCAACGCTACAACCCCTACACGGAAGAGGACGAAGAGGTAAAGCTTCATCAGATACACGATGATTTAACTTTTTCAATTTGTGATTAATGCAGATTGAGTATAAGTAACATGGGATTTAATTAAATAACTATATGCACTGCGTGTTCCAGAGTGAAGCGCTGCATTGTGTTAATTTGCATGTGGGCAGCTCATGATCTGCTGGTGTTTGCAGCGTCTCAGAGTGTTTTGGTTCGCAGTAAATGCTGCTCCACACAAACTCATCTCTGCATCTGCTCTGAGTCTGGGTCGCTGTAATTTACATTCTGCATTTGGGAACGCAACACGCGCCAACCTTCTTTCGTTCCCATTGTAATGAGAAGCAGTTGTCAACAAAAAAGAAGCTTTAAGGGTTTGCTGCAGTTTTACATTAAAATAAAAGTTTAAAATGAAGAAATTAAGACAGCCATAAATATTAGTATTGTAATTCTACTGTTGTAATTGAAAAATAAATACTTGTATACTCTAATTTTTTATTTTACAGTGGAATATAACCATATAATTTTTTTTTTTTATGTAATTCGTGTATTTTTGTTTAGTAATTATTTTTATTATTATATAGCCGTAAAAAAACTGATTTTTTTTTTTATTGTATTCCAAATCGCAAAAGTTTAATCAGAAAAATTGCAATTCAGTTTTTTTCACAAATCACGCCTTTTCAAATATGTTTCCCAAACACTCCACTATATAATTTTTTTAACCTATTAATTGCAAAGATTTCATTATATTATAGTAAATATTTTGCCAGTGACTGTGAAATAGACTTTTCTCTGTCTCTGTCTTGCGAATAACTGTGTTTAGCTTTGAGGCTTGGATATATTTGGGGCTTACATATAAATAAAAATGATAAATTATAAAAAATAAAAAAAACAGTGTTTTTGTCTATATTGTTTTAAATCTATTTTTAGATGTTTGTCTTACATCTGTTGCATCTAAAAAATCTATTTTTTTGCCTCCAGTTGAGTGGCACTCTGTATTGCAAATGTCATATACACATATTTTTGCACCACCAGATTTTTGCACTGACCTCAGATTTCATAAGTTAGACTGGAAACCTAGTCAGTCAGTGTGTCAAGCTTGATGCTTGACCTTGTTCTTGGCAATGCATCAAAACACCTGAGGTATTCACTGTTTTTATGGCATGTTTAAAATGTTCAAAGCTCATAAATAAAGTTAAATGAAACAATTTAATTGCATTAATATAGCTGTACCCCTTAATGATGGGTTATTAAAGTGATTTTGGTTGCATGTAGTGGAAGGCAGTATGTCACCATTTCTTCACCGAGACACTCTTTCAGGAATCATGAAATCACAGTTTATTTAGCTCTGTTTTAAAGCACTGCATTGCTTTAACACGTTCATGCTGTACATGTCTCATAATTGTCCTCCACACCTGCCCACATTGGCATGGTGTGAGGGGAATTGATTAATAATTCAGATGTTGAAGATTCACAGTTCTCGCAGTCGGTATTCTTGGAGATCTTGGGTGTGAAAGTAAGGACAGAATGCCATGGCAGTGTGTCTCAAAAAATGTTTGTAAGAAATGTTTCTTTTAATAAAATCAACATGATTTCTGAAGAATCATGTGACTGAAGACTGGAGTAATGACTGCTACACAGGATCACAGGAAGAAATTATATTTTGAAATATAATAAAATGAAAAACAGTTATTTTAAAATTTAATATTATTTCAAAATCTTACTGTTTTGATTACATAATTTTTTTTTTTTCACAAAGCCAAAACCTAGATATTTTAGGCAATATAGAAATCCTGGCCAGGACGTGTCCTGGGAAAATGGTCACCCTACTTCTACTTGCCTTTACTTCATCTTCCTGCAGCTGCACAGTCAATTCAAAATGGTGGTTGGCCAGTCACAGTGTTTTTTGGGGTTTTTTTACAATGTCCTGCCATGTGTTTTCCTCTTGATCCAGTTGGTTTCTGCCTAGCTAAACTCTGACATCTAGTGGTTAATGTTACCAACACACTGATCAGAAACCAACACATGTCCGAGTCTAGAATCCTTATCAAATGTCTGATACAGAAACTTCTTTCGCTTCAAAATCCATAAATTGTTTATGGTCAGATAAACAAATCTCAGCTGCACTGAAAAGCAGCATGTGTCTCAATATCCATCTCTCTTTCTTTCTCGATATCTTGTTCATGTTCAGACGGGTGAATATGCCACCGATGAAGAAGGAGAGATGAGCCCCATGTTTCCTAATGCCATCGAGGTGTTTGACCTGGCAGAGAATGAAGACATGCTCTCTCCTGTGGAGATGGACCCAGAGAAACTTGCACACAAGTTTAAGGAGGTCAGTGGGACACACAAGAAAACTTCTAAATCTGACCACTCATAAACGCATGACCAGAAAAAAAATGTGCAAACCGATCCACAATGCCATTTTTTACTTTGATTTGCCTTTTGAAATTAACTGGGAATTGACCCAATATTAAACAGATGCAGCTGATTTTTATTTAATTTTAATTTTATTTATATTATGATCAATAGCTTACGATATGAATCTAGAGTTTGTATTTATTTATTTTCTTAATTACTTATTTCGCACTGAAGCTCCAATATGGAAATGTTGGTCTATATCAGCAATTTTTTTTTTTTTTTTTTTTTACAATCAATAAGCAATGTTCACACTGTAAAAAAAAGAAATAAAAAAAAAGAAAAGAAAAATGTAGTTGTAAATAATAAAAAGATTATTTCACAAGAAAATACTATTTACATTTTTCTTCTTCAAAATTTCATGATTAATTAAATGTTACTTGCTGTTTCTTTCTAATTGTTTGTGAAACTTACTAGCAATTTCTGAGTGAAAATTGTTTCTACACCATTTTTTTTCAGTGCAATAAATCTGCTGGTTTTTTGTTTGTTTGCTTGTTTTAATAAAAAATATAATTCACCCTGTGTCTCAAATTTAGAATTATATGCTACACTGTTCTACAATTTTATATATACAGTGGGGCAAAAAAGTATTTAGTCAGCCACCAGGGTGATTGCAAATACTAGTTTTATATGACATTTATTAGTGGGGCCTACTCTATTGATTTTGAGATTCTTTTATTTGTCTTTAAATCTTTAAACAGACAGTCACCTACTTACAAATCGAGCCTTCTGTCTAAGCATAATCCATCAAGATCCCTCAGATCTTCAGATCAGAGGTGGTGGACTGGTCCTAGAGCAAGAATAAAACTGAGAAATTATCCGGCTTTTTCAGTAGTTGTACCAAAACTGTGGAGGAGCCTCAAGTGCTCAAACACTTTCTGATTTTAAAGTTTGTTTTTCTTGGCTTTTATTGTATTGTAGAGTTTCATGTAATCTCCTTTACTGTGTTTTTGTTTTGTTTGTTTACATGATGTTATAATTTTCAGCACTGTACAGCACTTTCGTCAACTTTTAGTTGTTTTAAATTGTGCTTTAGAAATAAACTTGAACTTGAAGCAAACATCACTATTATTAACCCTATTTTTAGTTGAACGCTGCATTTTTAGAGAGGCGTGTCATGCATGAGATGCTGCAAAAGATGTGAGATGTGAGCACAGCAGTCAAAAATTTTTGTCTATTTACAAAGAAAACAATGGAAAAATAATGGAGGGGAAAGGAAAAACCGTGAACCTGCCCTAAGGGTTTACATTTATTGTATTGTTAAAAATTTGGGGTCAGTATTTTTTTCTTTTTTTTTCTTTGAGAAAGAGAAATTAATTTAGCAATAATGCATTAAATTATCATTCACATTTATTCATTTAGCAGACGATTTTATCCAAAGTGACGCAAAAATAAGGAATACAAGCAATTTATCATAAGGAGGCAATAACACAAAAAAAATGATCAAAATTTACAGTAAAAACTTTCATAATGGCACAGAAGATTTAATTTATTAAAGAATCCTGAAAAAAATGTTAACATGTTTCTTGAGCAGTAAATCAGCATATTAGAATGATTTCTGAAGAATCATGTGACACTGAAGACTGGAATATGATGCTGAAAATTCAGCTTTGCATCACAGGAATAAATTAAATTTTTAAAAATATTCACATAGAAAACAATTATTTTTAATTGTAATAATATTTTACGATATTGCTGTTTTACTGTATTTGTGATCAAATAAATGGAGCCTTGGTGAGCATACAGTAAGAGACATTTTCTAAAATATTAACAACCCCAAACTTTTGAACAGTAATGTATGCATTTAAAGATAAAAGCATTTGCCACATACATAAAAATGGTGACAATAAGTGTACCTGACCTGAATTTCTCTCTTTTTCCATCTCAGGTTACAGACTTGGAGTCAAAGGTTGGTGCCCTGAAGAGCTTGGAGCCGTCGTAAACCTTCCGCTGTGGAAATGACGGAGAGAATGACAGAAACGCCTTGAACTCCGCCCACTCTACCCTCCGACCACATTTTCCCTCCATGACCTGAAGAGCCTGGTGATCTACAGGAAACATGCTGAGGGGATGTTACCGGGGACCAAGAGGGGACAAAACAAACACTGTACCAGACGCCGGAGGGACGTCAAGACATCAGGAGGCCCTTTTTATAGTCATTTAGTCATCTTCTCCATTTCTTTTTAAGCGCCCTTAAAGGTATTATGAGCCTCTCTGCTCTCGGCAGGAATGTAGAACCTCTTCGTTAATAAATGTTCACTCACTTGCTTGCAGGAGAAGAATGAAACCGTTGCTGGACAAAGACGGCATGCCCACAGTGTAGGATCAGAGCGAGAGGCGGCCTGTATAGCAGTGACTGTCAAGAGGACTGTTTGTATATATTCTGGCATATATTTAAATATTAAAATCGCTTAAGCAATGTTCTGGGGGGGGGGAGAAGGGGTAAGGGCTTTACTTTTCACATCTAGGCAAATAATACAGTGAAAATGGTCCATTTTTTTCAAATCGAGCCTTCTGTCTAAGCATAATCCATCAAGATCCCTCAGATCTTCAGATCAGAGGTGGTGGACTGGTCCTAGAGCAAGAATAAAACTGAGAAATTATCCGGCTTTTTCAGTAGTTGTACCAAAACTGTGGAGGAGCCTCAAGTGCTCAAACACTTTCTGATTTTAAAGTTTGTTTTTCTTGGCTTTTATTGTATTGTAGAGTTTCATGTAATCTCCTTTACTGTGTTTTTGTTTTGTTTGTTTACATGATGTTATAATTTTCAGCACTGTACAGCACTTTCGTCAACTTTTAGTTGTTTTAAATTGTGCTTTAGAAATCAACTTGAACTTGAAGCAAACATCACTATTATTAACTCTATTTTTAGTTGAACGCTGCATTTTTAGAGAGGCGTGTCATGCATGAGATGCTGCAAAAGATGTGAGATGTGAGCACAGCAGTCAAAAATTTTTGTCTATTTACAAAGAAAACAATGGAAAAATAATGGAGGGGAAAGGAAAAACCGTGAACCTGCCCTAAGGGTTTACATTTATTGTATTGTTAAAAATTTGGGGTCAGTATTTTTTTCTTTTTTTTTCTTTGAGAAAGAGAAATTAATTTAGCAATAATGCATTAAATTATCATTCACATTTATTCATTTAGCAGACGATTTTATCCAAAGTGACGCAAAAATAAGGAATACAAGCAATTTATCATAAGGAGGCAATAACACAAAAAAAATGATCAAAATTTACAGTAAAAACTTTCATAATGGCACAGAAGATTTAATTTATTAAAGAATCCTGAAAAAATGTTAACATGTTTCTTGAGCAGTAAATCAGCATATTAGAATGATTTCTGAAGAATCATGTGACACTGAAGACTGGAATATGATGCTGAAAATTCAGCTTTGCATCACAGGAATAAATTAAATTTTTAAAAATATTCACATAGAAAACAATTATTTTTAATTGTAATAATATTTTACGATATTGCTGTTTTACTGTATTTGTGATCAAATAAATGGAGCCTTGGTGAGCATACAGTAAGAGACATTTTCTAAAATATTAACAACCCCAAACTTTTGAACAGTAATGTATGCATTTAAAGATAAAAGCATTTGCCACATACATAAAAATGGTGACAATAAGTGTACCTGACCTGAATTTCTCTCTTTTTCCATCTCAGGTTACAGACTTGGAGTCAAAGGTTGGTGCCCTGAAGAGCTTGGAGCCGTCGTAAACCTTCCGCTGTGGAAATGACGGAGAGAATGACAGAAACGCCTTGAACTCCGCCCACTCTACCCTCCGACCACATTTTCCCTCCATGACCTGAAGAGCCTGGTGAACTACAGGAAACATGCTGAGGGGATGTTACCGGGGACCAAGAGGGGACAAAACACTGTACCAGACGCCGGAGGGACGTCAAGACATCAGGAGGCCCTTTTTATAGTCATTTAGTCATCTTCTCCATTTCTTTTTAAGCGCCCTTAAAGGTATTATGAGCCTCTCTGCTCTCGGCAGGAATGTAGAACCTCTTCGTTAATAAATGTTCACTCACTTGCTTGCAGGAGAAGAATGAAACCGTTGCTGGACAAAGACGGCATGCCCACAGTGTAGGATCAGAGCGAGAGGCGGCCTGTATAGCAGTGACTGTCAAGAGGACTGTTTGTATATATTCTGGCATATATTTAAATATTAAAATCGCTTAAGCAATGTTCTGGGGGGGGGGAGAAGGGGTAAGGGCTTTACTTTTCACATCTAGGCAAATAATACAGTGAAAATGGTCCATTTTTTTCTTTTTAGGACAAAATTGGAAAACATGGTGTGAAAACATTTACAGTTAGCATTCAGGGGCTTCTCATGTTTGCTTTCTGTGTAAAAGACATGTTAATGGAAGTGTAGAATGAGTAGGGGCTTATGGGTGATGATTTCTTCACAGGAGAAACATCACTCTGTGCTTTAACTTCAGTGCTTGTTGGTGTAGTGCTCATTGCACTGCGCTGTGTGCCTCGGTCAACCCTGCAATGTCGTCTGACTCTCTTACGTAACAGAGTTAGACTTCTGCATCAATCAGAAATATGGCCTTGTTTTATTGCTACCCAAAACCTTTCACCAGCCCTCTCTGTTTAAGCAGACTCGTCGTGTGTTTACTCCGATGTAAGTGCACTCAGATTGCACTAGTCCAGGAGAATCCTAAAGTTGTATGCCTCTGTTGGCTGCCATTCCTCCTCTCTCCTGATGGATGTGGATTGATTCAGTATTATCGTTCCATATACTATGATGTGGAATCTCCTTTTAGTTGGATTGTGGAGTTATAAGCCACTTTTGTCTTTGTTATTTTGTCTTAAATGTGTTTGTACTCCTGGAAAAAAATGGAATTTTGACACGACAATTGAAGGAATTTGAGAGTTTAATTATATGGTTTTAAGTATGGTTTAAGCATGTTGGAGATACTGAGCCTCATTCGTAGGACACAAGCAGAAATTAGGTGTCAAGTCTCCATAAAACAACTCTTGGGGGCCATTCACACAGAGCCAACGTTTTTTCCCCATTCCACAAAAAAAGTTTTAAGACGCGTCCAATAAAAAAAGAGACACCTTTTTATTTTTTTTACTTATTTGTAATTGGAGCAAAACGCAGCTACATGCGTCAAAAGCCACAAGACGCCAGCGCAAAGGTCAACCACGTCCATCTAGCACGTATTTACATAGAAAACAACTGAAAAGTAGAGCAGTGAAAAAGGGAAAGGCGTTTTGGATGAAACCACCCCGACGTAAATGTAAGGGTTGGTTCACACAGTATTGCATTGCTTTTTTGTTATTTTTCTCATAAAACGTATGAGCTTCGCGTTTGTAAGACACTGTCAAGTGTCAACCCTGCATTCTTTTCTTCTTCATTAGTTGAACTGCAACGGAAGAACACCTTCTGTGTGAACGGTCCCCAATCTGTGGAGTGCAGATTATTTTCTTTAGTTCAATCAGATAGTTGTGTCCTATTTTTACTGTTGGGCTTCTCACGTCAACCGTATTTATGAAAGAGAATCGAGTTGGTTTTTCAAATGCCAAAAAACTGTTATTCCCAGCTTAGTATTGAAAACCTTAATGAGTATTGTAGTTCTTCCCATTTCCCTCCTGAAAGTATTTGTTGTTCAGCTTTTTACGAACTTCTCATTTTATGTGACTGTTCATTTTCATGTAGTTTTTAGTATTTTTTTTTTAAATGTTACAAGTAATTTTCTGTTTAACATTGGTTGATCAAGCATCATGTTGATCAAGCAACAGGGTAACACTGAGAGAATACAAACGATGCTGCAGAGTTTTGTGAAACAATTGGTAGGAACATCATATAATAGGAATCTTAAAGTCACTGCTATTCTGCTAACCTATATGAATTTCAATCATCCTAAACCACAATTAGACTGAGCTTACACTCTTAAAAATAAAGGTGCTTCACGATGCCATAGATGTTAAATGGTTCCATAAAGAACCTTTAACATCTGAAGAACCTTTCTGTTTCACAAAAGGTTCTTTGTGGTGAAAGAAGGTTCTTCGGATTACAAAAAGGTAAGAAAGAGATGGTTCTTTAAAGAACCTTTTACTGAATGGTTCTTTGTGGAACCAAAAATGGTTCTTCTATGGCATCCCTTGAAGAACCTTTTGAAGCACCTTTATTTTTAAGAGTGTATGTCTGACTTTCCATGTCATAGTCACCTAAAATCATTTTTCAAGCAAGCAAGAACAAGCACTGACTGGAAATCAGAATTATGGGACTATTTTCTCAGTTATACTGCTCTTAATTCGTTGACTCTTTAACCCTAACTAGACACCTGTTATCTAGCAATCAAGTGCAGAATGGTGTTTGAGAAATTGAAATAATTCCACAATGATTAGTGCAGCAGTAAATGTATATAATAGAGCCGTTTTGAGGGCTTTTTTTTTCTTTCTTTTATTTGCACAATGTCAAGGAAACCTTGATTTCCCATCCGTAAGAAAGCCCACTGGCTTTGACAAGGACCTTAGCAAAGATATCCGAATAAAACGGTCTTATTTGCTGTGTATAGTTCTGTTTACTGCGAGCCTCTGTTTGCTGAAATGTAATATTGTAATGTCTAGTACACGACGACCATGTTTATGGATGTCCAGACAGTGGCACAGTTAAAACATTTCTTATCCCAGAGCGTCACACGAGCAAACTGAGTTATGGAGGTAAAGGACACTTTGAATCTTATAAACGCTTTTAATTTTTCACATTTTAGCTTAGCTTAGCTGCTGCCTTTAATGAAATGAATTTGCTTCCATGTACAGGAAAGAGCTCTGTGTTTCTCTCCTCACTTGCTGGTGTAATAGTTGTTCCTCTTTATTTTTGGTTTCCTACAGTGTACTTCAGTCTAATAATAAGATGAGTACAGATAACATGTTTAAAGATGTTACGTTGCAGTGTCGTTAAACAAGCAGCA